CCGGCGGGGGCAGCCCCACGGGCGCAGGGGGCAGCCGGCTGCCTGGCCAGTCGCTCACCTGCGGCAGCCCCAGGAAGCCGTAGAAGTTTTGCGGCACCTCCTCCACCAGGTCGAAAAGCTCCAGGTCGCCGCTGTCCCAGGCGCGGGCGAGCAGCGGCAGCAGCGCGAGGAGCAGCAGCAGCGCGCGGAGCCGCGGCGCAGGGCACGGGCGGCCCATGGCCCCTGCCTGGCAGCCGGCGGCAAGACGCGGACGTGGCCCCTGCTCAGGTCACTCACGCCCCAGCGGCGGCTCCGCACTGAGTGAGGGGGGAGGAGGCAGGCTCCGCTCCTCCCGCTGCGACGCCCACGGGGAAGGGGCGTGGCTTGCACCCCGACCAATCACCGCCGCTGGCGGCTGTGACCTCACCTCTCCTAGCAACCGCGGGAGACTGTGTCTGGAAGCCTTGGAGGAAGGAGCTTCCAGAGCGGGGAAGGGGCTCGCTCCAGCGTGGCTGCTGCCGCCTCCTCGGGGCTTGGCTGAGGGGGGGGAATCCCCCAGCAGGGCCCCCTCTGAGCTGTCCGGCGCCCCCCTCCCCCCGCGCCCTGCACGACAGCGGCGGTGACGCTGCCTGAGTGGGCGGGAGCCCGACTGGCGGCGGCGCGTCTCCGCCTCCTCTAGCACAGCCCTTGGTTCAGTTCCTGCCTCGTCCCCTTTGCTGCCCTCCCCCTTCCCGCTCTCTCGCCCACCGCCCGCACGAGACCCGTGCAGGGAACCCAGGCCCTGCCTGCCTGGGGGCAGCTGTGGGGCCACAGCACAGAGGCTGCTTAGATGGAGGGAAGGGGGGTTTCCATCGCTGTAGGTAATCCATCCCCCCCTCCCCCCCCCCCGAGAGGGGAGCTAGGCGAGGTCTACAGACAGAAGAATTCCTCCACCTACCTAGACCTAGCTGCGGGATGGGTTAGGGCCACTTGACTACAGCCTGCTGTGATTTTTCACAACCCTGAGCAACATAGCTAAGGCGATCTAATTTTTAAAAGTAAACCAGGCCCAGCTAGAATACCTAGTCATCCCCCTCCGCCTCCTCACACCCAGGGGTGGGCAAACTACAGACTGGGTGCCGCATCCAGCCCTCGAGTTCCCACTGGGGAGCGGGGTCTGGGGCTTGCCCCACTCCGTGCGGCTCTCAGAAGCAGCAGCATGTTCTCCCTCCGGCTCCTACGCATAGGGGCAGCCAGAGGGCTCCACACACTGCCCCTGCCCCAAGCACCACCCCTGCAGCTCCCATTGGCCGGGAACTGGGGGGATGAGGACCCGAGGGGGCAGGGATAGCACAGCTGGGGGGATGAGAACGGGGGGGGGGCAGGAACAACACAGCTGGGGGGGGCAGATCAGGCCCCGGGGGGGCAGGGATAGCACAGCTGGGGGGATGAGGACCTGGGGGGGCAGGGATAGCACAGCTGGGGGGATGAGGACCCGGGGGGGGCAGGGACAGCACAGCTGGGGGGTGAGGACCGGCGGGGGCAGCCCCACGGGCGCAGGGGGCAGCCGGCTGCCTGGCCAGTCGCTCACCTGCGGCAGCCCCAGGAAGCCGTAGAAGTTTTGCGGCACCTCCTCCACCAGGTCGAAAAGCTCCAGGTCGCCGCTGTCCCAGGCGCGGGCAAGCGGCGGCAACAGCGCGAGGAGCAGCAACAGTGCGCGGAGCCGTGGCGCAGGGCACAGGCGGCCCATGGCCCCTGCGGACAGGATAGCACGCAGAGCTGCCAGGCCGCGCCTCCGCTTACAAGCCGGAGCGGGGACATGCTGCTGCTTCTGGGAGCTTTTTGAAATAAGCGCCGCCTGGAGTCTGCACCCAACTTCCTCCTGCCCCAGCCCTGATCCCCCTCCTGCCCTCTGAATCCCTCGGTCCCAGCCCAAAGGACCCTCCTGTATCCCCAACTCTTCATCATCAGCCCCACCCCAGAGCCCACACCTGAAACTGGAGCCCTCACCACCCCTCCCCCCACTCTACCCCCTACCCTAGCCTGGAGCCCCCTCCCGCACCCAGAACTCCTCATTTCTGGCCCCACCCCAGAGCCCACACCCCCAGCTGGAGCCCTCAACCCGTCCCACACCCCAACCCCCAATTTCATGAGCATTCATGGCCTGCCATACAATTTCCATATCCAGATGTGGCCCTCAGGCCAAAAAGTTTGCTCACCCCTGGGTTACACCCACCTCTTCTTTTGCTCCCAGCTTTGAACTGGTCAAGTTGAGTGCTTTTCTCCATATGGAAATGCACCCAAAGACCCTTAACTCTGCCCTGCTGTGACACCAGGTTAGAGGAGAAAGACATATTTTAAAAGTATTTAAAAAATCAGCTAAATCTAATTTGGGACCACAAATACTAAAATATCAATCATATGACTAGTGCATGGTGTCACTACAGGGCAAAGTTAAATTTTCTGAGAAACATGTTATGAATAATTATGTGGCAAAATTACCATTAACTTCTGCCTCCTCCCCCCCCCCCAAAAAATTTCTTAATGTTGTCTATGCACAAGATTTTAGCAAGTTACAACTAGTGAGTTAAGTTTGTGTGAGTGCAATTATGGAGTATTTTTACCTTTAAATGTTTGAATTTAACTATTAATTCCTTGGGTGTATAGTTTTTGTTTTGGTATTACAACATCCTTGTAAAGTATTTTACTCTACATTACTGATATGTACTCTCAATCTTAACTCCATTTTAACAATTTTTACCTGGGAATTTCTTTGTTTACATTAAATATGTCATACATGAACACTAAACAAGAACCTCAAATAAAATGTTATATGATATTTCTAATTACTTAAAGATATGAAACAATTAGCCATTTTCTTAATTTTAACTTTTATGGCCAGGCTCCTCAGTACATTGTGGGTACTTTAGCTCAGGAGTACGACAAAACAATCGGTGCATGCATGCCAGTTAAATGGTTTTTACAGATGTTTTGTTTTGCCAGAGCAGTTCAAAACAGTTGGAGAATACACCACAGTTTCCCCTTCCTTCCAGTTCTTCAAATCCTCTGCCTCTTGCATCTCCTACATTCCCCCTTCTTCTTACAACCCCCTACATTCTTAGTTGCCAACTCATGTGATTTTTATCATGAGCTTGTTGGTGTTTTTTCATAAAGGTCCAGCTGCTGGAAGCAAGAAATTCTCATGCCATCTCAGCTTTCATTTAAAAAAACCCCAAAACAATACCAAACATTTCTAGCTCTCAGGGTTGTTTACAAAAGCTTGAAAATGTGAAGCAAGTAAATCCTAAAGACTCCAAAATCAGGAGGCAAATAAGAAGAACTCCAACATTTATTTTTAACCCAATCTCACTTTAGAATGCTTCTGGTTGGCAATATTTCATTCCTCCACATGAGCATACCCCAAGTTCTCCTTCCTTCTGCACCCTGCTTCAGTCTTCTGTGTGTATGCACACATGCATACATATACACACACAAGTTTATCCTTCCTAACTAAACAAATAAGCCAGTATGGAAATATTGGAAAGATATTAATGGTCATTTCGTCATGAAGAATTGCTTGCTTTCAAAATTGCTACCATGTCCCACTGCTCCCACTAGGAATGAAGCCACAGCTGCCTTCAGAAAAGAGAGAAGGAGATGAGACACCTAGATCCATTGAAAACAATGAAAGAGATACCTTTCTCAAAATGGCACCAACAGAAGGCAGCTGTGGCTTCAGTCCTACTGAGAATGATAGGAAATGGTAGCCATTTTGAAAGAGGACAGTTCTTTGTGAAATTCTCGAAAGTAAACCATGGTATCCTTCAGCTGAAGAAAGAATGTTCAGTTATGAAGGATAACAGGAAAAAGTTACCATTAATCCTAAAATCTATATATTCAAAAATAGCCTATGCACAAGATTTCAGTAAGTTTTAACAACATGGAAAATTTGAAGGGTCTGTGTTATTCTGTTACTGAGATTACTTGGGCCAAAAAAGTCCAATACTGGTGGCTAAATTTCTTAAAGACCTATTTTTTATTTCTAAACTAATTAACAGATTGACTTGTAAATTCTCATAAAATTCATTTCGTACTCAGAGTAATTGATGAATTTGGGGAAGGGTAGGCTGTATTTACTATATATATGCAAACCCTTGGTTTAAATGCAAAACTCAACTCAACCTTGACTGTGGAGTTGCTGTTTGCACATCCATAACAATAACTCATTCTCCCTGCCTCTCTCTTCTTCTGTCTCAACTTCCTTAATTTTTTCTCCTTGAGACTTTGAGTCCTTTTCCTCCTTGGCTTGAATTGGGCCGATCACACCAGGCTGCCACCTTATTCTCCTAAATCTCTGTTTTCATTTAAAATAAAACCAATTATCTAGCCCTTATGGTCACAGAGAAAATGTTGAAAACATAAAACAAGTGTAAACTGATGCAGCTATGTTTGCTGGGTCTGCAATGAGCTTGAAACAATAGACCAGAGAGATATGAACTTCCTGAGTCATCTCAATATCTAATGAAGGTCAACTCAATATCCAGTTATTTAAAATTTCAACATTATTAGTGATTACACTAATATCAAAGCAAGTAAGAAAGTAGAGAGATGAGCGCAGCTCTACACAGCCTACTCTCAGTGGTGTCTTATTATGGCACTGTAAATGGTAGCGTTTGGTAGACACTACCTTTTTCCAGGATCACCTGTGGAGCTAAAGGACAAAAGGAAACAAATAGAGTCCAGGGGGTGATCCTGGGAATATTAGCCATATGCTACACTAAAGGTTTGATAATTATCTTACCCACACTTTCCATCGCTAGTATGTAATGTTGCATTGCATGGTATGCCCAATGCATTGTCATGCTATTTCTCAGACAAATTTCAATTTGTAGCACTTCTAGATTAGAGTATTGTCAAAATAGCACAAGAACAAAGTAACCAGTTAGAGCAGAGTTTCTCGTGGCAGCCTCCTTGCTGGTCCCTGAGATTTCCAAGACACAGCATATTAATATTTAAAATGTAAAGAGTTTTTTGTACTTGCATGTTACATCACTGTATTCAGTTATTTCTGAACATTTAAAAATAAATAAACAAACAAACAAACTGGGTTGACATCGATTGCCATGGTGCTGATATGCACAGCACATTCACGCACATTTTTTGGAAGGAAATAGCTGCGAGAGAAATTTAAGTTTTAGTAAAACTTTTACTTAGCTAAACCAGACAGTGTCATTGTCAAAGCAGATACCTCTGGATCAATTTTTCAGAACTAGCAAAAGTTCAGAAAAACATAATAGAGATGCGAGTGACTCTGAACGTGAATAAG